ATGAGCCGCAAGCTAGTAGTCCTCACCAACCTGCTGTGCAAGCAGTAGAAGGTGGTAGTCTGCTTTCATTCAAGGACAGGAAGGGAGAAGAGGGTGACGGCCACAGGAGTGTGGAGTGTGCAGGAGGAGAGCGCGAAGAAGAATGCCTTCTGAAGGTTGTGAAAGATAGTAGTCCTGACCAACCTGCTGTGGAAGATGAAGCAGCCTGTCGTCGGCTGTCAGTCGAGGACAGGCAGGAAGAAGAGGGTGATGGCCACAGGAATGCAGAGTCTGCAAGGAGAGAGAGTGAAGAAAATTTCCTCAGGGGCAACCAGGGGCTGCTGGCAAGGGATGCGCTTGTGAGTAATGCGTCCCCCGAAGCCAATCCTGATCGGTCTACTGTGGAAGCAGGCGGGGCAGCGTGTGAACCTTTGGTGGTTTGGAAAAGGAGGCAACGGGAGGAACAGGCGGGCGGTGAGGGTAATGTGGAACCTGCAAGGGGAGAGAGTGAAGAATGCCTCAGCGGCTACGTGTCAGTAGCAAATTGCGCGTTAATGAGTAATAATGACCACCAAGCTAGTCCTCACCCATCTATCGTGGAAGCAGACTCAGCCTGTGAACTGTTGCTGATCCTGAAGAATAGGCAGGGAGGCCTGGAGGGAGGAGAGGGCGGTGGCCTGGAGAAGGAGAATAGTGATCGGCTTTTAAAAAAAAATGAATTGAAGGCAGGAGGAGGTGAATCGCTCGTCAAGCTTTTTCTCAAGACGGAAAGGGATCCCTCGCACGGGTTGGATGGTGTGGAAGCGCCAGCTGTCAGCATTGACGGGGTGCCGACAACAGGTGCGAAATGACCAATGGTGAAAGGAGGGATGTTGATTGGTACATGTGCATTGGGAACACACTCTTCGGACCTTCTTCTACAAATGTGAATTGTTGCCTTCCTGGAGGCTGGGTTCTTGATTGTGTCAGTTTTGAGAACTTTTGACTCAACTATTGCTTCCCCCTCCCCCCCCCCTTCCCCCCTCCTCCCCCACCCCCTGTTTTCTTCACGAATATTGCTCACAGGTTTCGGCAGTTTTGGGAACACAATCCAGTGAAATTGGCCTGAAAATCCTCAACATTGTGGATATGATGAAAGCAAATGGGGCTTAAATCCTTAAACCACTACTAGTACCTCTGCCAGTGTTGGGAAATTAAGTCAAAACGCCCGTTCCCAAAGAATTCGGGGTGGGACCTCAGGGTCGGCAAGTCCCATAAATGATAAATCTTGGTTTTATATTGCTCGCGCGTGAATGGAAAAGAAGAAAAAAAAGAAAATGCTTTCTCTACTGCAATGATGTCGGGCAGGGTAGTCTAGGAGGCTGCGATCACAGTCTTCCTCCACAGAATGAATCTTACAGCTAACATGGTCACATTCTGAATGTTGTTGCTTACCTTTTTTTCTCTCTCTCTTGTCTTTCTTATAGTCCCCTGCCAACGAGGAAGGGCGGAATCCCTGATCTGCTCAAGCGGTGTTTCCTCAGAGGATTGTAACGCTGATCACACTGGCACTTAGAGGAATGTATCCAGCCATTTTCACGGCCGAATCTGTCTTTTCGTTTTTTTTTTTTTTTCCCCCTTCTTCTTTTGTCTTTCTGGAATCTGACCACCTGGCCACGGGGCTGAGATGCCCTCACTGAGGCAGTCTGAGGGCACACTCACACTACCACTTCCAAGAATGTATACAACTGCAATCACGGCCAAAACTTTGTTTACTTTTTTTTGTTATCTTCTTTTGTAGAGTTTCACGGCC